CAGATTTGTGTTTGAGTTTAAAAAGAACGTGTATAGATTAAAAAAAATGGGTTGTGTGTTTTCTTCTCATTTTTTTTTTTGCGTCCAACAAACATTATATTAAAAGAAGTCCAACGGGCCATTACAAAGATACGTTGAGGCCCAAATACAATCCAATTAGAAAGCAACATAAACCACACGTCTATCTAGGGTTAAGCAACAGTGACAAAGACAAAGGCGGCCACATCCTCGCCGCATCCATACGCCACCGTCGAGTCAAAATCAAGAATTCGGACTCAGAGACCAACGAACATATCTTCATAGAACTCCTCCACAGATTGATCCATGCTACACGAACAGAAACCACAGTCTTCCGTAAAAATTCACCACCGATCATCACAAACCATGACCACACCACCACTGCCATACCTTTGCCATCTGAGTTTTTTTTTTTAATTCATTCAATTTCACAAATTTATGCTCTAGTCCACTCAATTCTTTTTTGTTTCACCAGATTTGATTTTTGACTTTTCTTAGAGCTTAGGGATTGTTGATATAATTTAATTTTACAGTAAGTTCTTACTTTGTGGATTTAATCAAGACAATGTCTTTTACAATGATATCTCTATATTTCACAAGAAGACATTGTACATGATGGGATGAATTAAGAGCAACGAGATACTGAAAAGAATCAATCATATCATGGTCACATTAATGTGGATAGATTCTGGTAGATATCTTTTTACACAATGTCTAAATGGTATCGTCCACAAGCGTAGTTTCTCTAGAGTTTATTACATTATTCGTGAATGTATACATACTATCAGTTGGTATGTAACCATGGAACATTGACCATCTCCTATTATCCATATGGATAAACATATGTATTGATTTTCGTACTAACCATAAAACACTGACATTGTACGGTTTTAGAATTTGTCCATTTCTTATTGTCCATATGGTTTTCCATTATATGGTTAGATGTCGTGTATTGTTTACTAGTACAGTACCCGCACCTTGCGCGGGATAACAATTTATAAAGGTAGATGTTCGCAACGACAATCATGTGAATTAAGCTAACTCAGAACTAATTTTATTATGATCATGTAACTAAATCATGTTGCCTAATAAAACTAAATTGTTAATTCGACTTGATTTTTATTAAAAAAAACTCAATTAATTGTGTGTAGTTAGTTAAACCTTGATCAATCAATTCTACGGAAATATAAATTTGATTTTACAAATCTATACAAAGTACACACATTTATCTCTTTCAATGGGGTATGTCCTTATAGTAATTCTTTAATATGACATCATGAATGTAACGCCCCGACCGCCGTCAAACATCGGTATGCAGGGAAAATCCTCATCCCCTCGAGAGAAATCTTCATTTCTTAATAACATACAGGGGAAATCCTCATCCCTTCAGAAGAAAT